GGGAGAGATTAATAGCAATACAATCATAGTAGGAGATTTTAATACCCCAGTGTCACCCTTGGACAAATCATCTAAACAAAAAATCAGCAAAGAAATATCAATCCTAAATGACTCGCTAGACCAGATGGAATTAATTGACATCTTCAGAACATTCCACCCCAAAGCCACAGAATATACATTCTTCTCAAGCGCAGATGGGACATTCTCAAAGATACACCACATTTTGGGACATAGGCAAAGTCTCTTCAAATTCAAGAAGATAGAAATCATATCAAGCATCTTCTCAGATCATAGTGGCATAAAACTGGAAATTAACTACAATAAAAATAATCCAAAGAAATCAAACACATGGAGACTAAACAGCATGCTATTAAACAAGGACTGGGTTACCAGAGAAATCAAGGAAGAAATTAAAAACATCCTGGAAACAAATGACAATGAAAACACAACAATCCAAAATCTATGGGACACAGCAAAAGCAGTTTTGAGAGGGAAGTTCATATCCCTACACGCATATTGCAAAAAACAAGAAAAAATGGTAACAAATGATCTAACTCTACAACTCAAAGAGTTAGAAAAAGAGCAACGAAAAAAGCCCAGTGTAAGCAGAAGGAAGGAAATAACAAAAATCAGAGCGGAGATAAACAACATAAAGACCAAAGAAACAATACATAAGATCAACAAAACCAAGAGCTGGTTCTTTGAAAGGATAAACAAGATAGATGAACCTCTAGCCAGTCAAACCAAGAAACAAAGAGAGAGAACTCAAATAAAATCAGAAACGAAAGAGGTGAAATAATAACAGACCCCGCCGAAATACAAAGGATTGTTTCAAAATACTATGAACAACTCTATTCCAACAAACTGAACAACCTGGAGGAAATGGACATATTCCTAGAAAAATACAACCTTCCAAAACTCAATCAGGAAGAATCTAAAAATCTCAATAGAGCAGTGACTTGGGAAGAAATTGAAACAGTTATCAAAAAGCTTCCAGCAAACAAAAGCCCAGGGCCAGATGGCTTCACAGGAGAGTTTTACCAAACATTCAAGGAAGAACTAAAACCTATCCTCAGACTATTCCAAAAAATCCAAAAGGAAGGAACACTTCCAAACTCCTTCTATGAAGCCAGCATCACCCTAATACCAAAATCAGATAAAGACAACTCAATGAAAGAGAATTACAGGCCAATATCCCTCATGAACATAGATGCCAAAATCCTCAACAAAATTCTAGCAAATCGGCCCCAGCAGAGCATCACAAAGATCATACACCACGACCAAGTAGGATTTATTCCAGGAATGCAAGGATGGTACAATATCCACAAATCAATAAATGTGATACATCACGTAAACAAATTGAAAGATAAAAATCATATAGTCATATCAATTGATGCAGAAAAAGCATTTGATAAAATCCAACACCCTTTCCTGATAAAAACTCTCAACAAGGTGGGAGTACAAGGATCATACCTCAACATAATAAAAGCTATATATGATAAACCCACAGTCAACATCATACTCAATGGGCAAAAACTAAAACCATTCCCTCTAAGAACAGGAAAAAAACGGATGCCCACTATCGCCACTCCTCTTTGACATAGTACTGGAAGTACTAGCCATCACAATTAGACAAGAAGAGGAAATAAAAGGCATCCAAATTGGAAAAGAAGAAGTAAAGCTATCCTTATTTGCAGATGATATGGTATTGTACATAAAAAAAAAAAAAAACCAAAAGACTCCGTTAAAAAACTAATTGACTTAATAAATGAATTTGGCAATGTAGCAGGATACAAGATTAACGCCAAGAAATCTATGGCATTTCTACACACCAACAGCGAACTTATAGAAACAGAGACTAAAAAAGCAATTCCATTTACCATCGCACCAAAAAAATTAAGATACCTAGGAATAAACTTAACTAAGGAAGTAAAGGACCTATACACGGAAAACTACACGACACTGAAAAAAGAGATAGAGGAAGATGTAAACAGATGGAAGAACATACCATGTTCATGGATTGGTAGAATCAACATCATCAAATTGTCCATACTTCCTAAAGCAACCTATAGGTTCAATACACTCCCCATTAAAATACCAATGGCATATTTCACTGACCTAGAAAAAACTCTCCAAAAATTCATTTGGAACAATAAAAGACCCCGAATAGCCACAGCAATCCTGAGAAAGAAGAGTAAAGTAGGAGGGATCTCAATACCAGACTTCAAGCTGTATTACAAAGCCACTGTTCTCAAAACAGCCTAGTACTGGCACAAGAACAGACATATAGATCAATGGAATAGAATCGAGAACCCAGATATCAACCCAAATCACTATGCTCAGTTAATATTTGACAAAGGAGGCACGAATATACAATGGAATCAAGACAGTCTCAAATTGGACAGATACATGCAAAAGAATGAAACTAGATCACCAACTTACACCATACACAAAAATAAACTCAAAATGGATACGGGACTTAAACATAAGACGGGAAACCATAAAGATACTAGAAGCAGCCACAGGCAGCAAAATCTCAGACATATGCCAAAAGAACTTCTTCACTGATACTGCCCCTAGAGCAATGGAAGCTAAAGAGAAAATAAACAAATGGGACTACATTAAAATAAAAAGCTTTTTTACAGCAAAGGAAACCATCAACAAAACAGCAAGAAAGCCCTCTGTGTGGGAGAACATATTTGCAAATGTTACCACTGATAAAGGTTTAATCTCCAACATCTACAGACAGCTTATACAACTAAATAAAAGGAAGATGAATGATCCAATTAAAAAATGGGCAAGGGACCTAAATAGAATATTTTCAAAAGAAGACAGAAGGAAGGCCAAAAGGTACATGAAAACATGCTCAAAGTCACTAATTATCCGAGAATTGAAAATCAAAACAACAATGCAATACCATCTCACACCTGTCAGAGTGGCCAACATCAACAAATCAATAAATGACAAGTGTTGGCGAGGTTGCGGAGAAAAAGGAACCCTCATGCACTGCTGGTGAGAATGCAGACTGGTGCAACCACTGTGGAGAACAGTGTGGCGTTTCCTCAAAAACTGAAAATGGAACTCCCATTTGACCCAGTAATCCCACTCTTAGGAATATATCCCAAGAAACTAGAAACACCAATCAGAAAGGATATATGCACCCCTATGTTCATAGCAGCACAATTTACAATAGCTAGAATCTGGAAACAGCCTAGATGCCCGTCAGCAGATGATTGGATCCAAAAACTATGGTACATCAACACAATGGAATACTATGCTGCCATAAAAAAGAATTCTCATCATTTGCAACAACCTGGATAGAACTAGAGAACATCATGCTGAGTGAAATAAGCCAGTCAATGAAAGAGAAATACCACATGACCTCACTCATTTATGGATATTAAAGAACATTATAAACTGATGAACCAAAAGTCAGATATAAAGACAGTAAAGCAACAAGCAGACTGTCAAATTACAGCGGGGAGGGTAGGAAGATCTGGGGGAGATAAGAGATCAACCGAAGGACTTGTACACATGCATATAAGTACAATCAATGGACACAAAACTCTGGGGAGGGAGGGTATGTATGGGAGGGGGGGCAATGTTAAAATATTGGGTCGGCAGCTAAGTAATTGCGGGTTTCACACATATATGGCTTCAGTTGAATTTTTAGGTTTGCAGACGTAGTACAAATGTAAAACACATTTTGTTATTTGATAGTTGGCTATTCAGCTGTTAATCAGTAAAAAAAGTTTTTTGATCTGTTTTGTAGTTTTCGTTTGGCGTTCGTTGAAAAATGGAAAATCAAAAGGAACATTTTCGTCATATTTTGCTTTTTTATTTCCGCAAAGGGAAAAACGCATCGCAAGCTCATAAAAAGTTATGTGCTGTTTATGGTGACGAAGCCTTAAAAGAACGGCAGTGTCAAAATTGGTTTGCCAAATTTCGTTCTGGTGATTTTTCACTCAAAGATGAAAACGCTTTGGTTGTCCAGTTGAAGTTGATGACGCCCTAATCAAAGCAATAATCAATTCGGACTGTCACAGTACAACACGTGAGATTGCAGAGAAGCTTCATGTATCACATACATGCATTGAAAATCACTTAAAACAACTTGGCTATGTTCAAAAACTCGATACATGGGTTCCTCACGAACTGAAAGAATCACAGTTAACGCCAACGCATTAGCAGCTGCGATTTGCTAAAGAAACGTAATGAAAATGATCCATTTTTAAAACGACTGATAACTGGCGATGAAAAATGGGTTGTTTACAACAATATCAAGCGGAAAAGATCGTGGAGCAGGCCAGGTGAACCAACTCAAACAACATCAAAAGCTGATATTCATCAAAAGAAGGTTTTGTTATCAGTTTGGTGGGATTACAAAAAAATTGTCTACTTTGAACTCTTACCACCCAACCGAACGATCAATTCTGATGTCTACATTGAACAACTAACGAAATTAAACAATGCAGTTGAAGAAAAGCGGCCCGAATTGACAAATCGAAAAGGTGTTGTATTCCATCATGACAATGCAAGGCCACACACATCTTTGGTCACTCGGCAAAAATTAATGGAGCTTGGTTGGGATGTTTTGCCACATCCACCATATAGTCCTGACCTTGCACCATCTGATTACTTTTTGTTTTGATCTTTACAAAACTCCTTGAATGGTAAAAATTTCAATAATGATGATGATGTCAAATCGTACCTGATTCAGTTTTTTGCTAATAAAAACCAGAAGTTTTTTGAACGTGGGATTATGATGCTGCCTGAAAGATGGCAAAAGGTCATTGATCAAAATGGGCAATACATTACAGAATAAAGTTATTTAGTTCCATGAAAAAATTGTCTTTGATTTTCTTTTAAAAATCCGCAATTACTTAGCTGCCGACCCAATATGTACACAGATAATAATTTAATAAAAATAAATAAATAAATGATTCTCATCATTGCTGTTTCTCTCCCTTCTCTGAAATCAACAGAAATATATTTAAATAAAATAAAAAGGAACTGTGATCAGAGGCAGGCCAGGGGAAAGCTGAGGCACAAGGGCCTCCAGCAGAGGACAGGCAGGTCCATCTGGGGCCAGTGGCCCCACCCGCTTCCTCTGTTCTCGGGCTCCAGTGACTGGCAGGGCCTTGGCCTCCTAACTCCACACACACCCCCAGCAAATAACGGAAGATCCCCTTCACTCAGACTTTTTATTGTAAAAACTGCCCAGACCCTCAGGCAGTGGCACAGAAAAGGAATGGGTGGAGGGCTGGGGGCTGAGGTCAGAGCTCCAGCACGTCTGTCCAGTGTTCCTGTGAAGACGAGAAGGGTGGTCAGAGACGGCACAGGGGACAGGACTGGGCAGGGCCCAAAGCCACCTCTCACCTCTTCTAATTCCACATTCTCCTCTTCCTCCTCGGAGCCCGTCCGACATAGCCAGATCAGGTCTCCCCACAGCAGTGAGTTCTTGCAGCTGCCAAGAGAGAGAGAGAGTCAGGATCACAAGCCTGCTTCAGGCTAGGCCCTGGGTGCCAAGATGAGAACTCAGATGCCTGGTTTATCTCGTCTTCATAGGTAAATCAGGCTGGGGGAGGGAGGGACTTACCCAGGGCATCGGCCCTCTAGCGGCAGAAGCTGCCCTGGCTCCTCCTGCAGGAACTCCTCTGCCAGGCAGGTCATGTGGGCCCTTAGGGAGCAGCCAGGGTAGGGGCAACACAGGGGGCCCTCTTCATCCTGTCGGAGGGGGCAGGAGGGGAGGGAGAAAATTGGGAGTGGTGATGTAACTGACAGAAGTCCTATGGATCAGACACTGTTCCAGGGGCTCCCTAAGAGGCACATGCTCTTAAGTTATATTGTAGATGAGGAAACAGGATGGAGGAGTTGCAATACTCGCCCATGGCGACTAAGCTGGCCAATTTTCTCTGAGTGTTAGCAGTGATTCTACAACAGCATGGCCACTGCAGCTAGACATAGAGTTCCTCACAGGCTCATCTCTGAATGGCAAGCACAGGTATGTGCTGAATCAGTCACATATGTGAGGGAGATATATCAGACGGCCTAGATGTTAGTAGGCTATACCATCTAGGTGTAAGTGCACTCTATGATGTTTGCACCGTGAAATTGCCCAAGAACACATTTCTCACATTCCTAGTTTAGCAGCATGTGAGCTATGCAGTTTACTTACATTTAATGTGAGTGAAAGACCTGTCATCTCAGTTTATACACTAAATATTTGCTACCTACTCTGTACCACAGCCTTCTACAGTACTAAATAAGAACAACCCTTGTGGAGTATAGTTTGGGGTGTGAAGGGTGTGAGACTGATAATAAAATAAAATAAAATAAAATATAGTTTGACCCCTGAAGAACATAGGTTTGAACTGGGGTGGTCCATTGATACAGACCCCACCCCCACCCCCAAATACCCAGTGGGCCCTCCATATCCCTGGGTTTTGCATCTGCAGATTCAACCAACCACAGTTTAAAAAACAGTATTTTTGAGGGTTTTTTTTTTTTTTTTATCCAGGGCTGGGAATCCACAGATGCAGAGGACTGATTGTATGCACTGTTCTGTACCATCTATACAATAAAAGGGTAATATGCTAATTAGACCGGGAGACCTTCCAGATAAAGCCATGGTGGCAGGGCCAAAGCAGAGGCAGTTAGGGGCGATCAGGCTAGGAGGGGAGGGCAGTTGGGGGTGACTAGGCCAGCAGGGAGTGGGGGCAGTTGAGGGCTGGCAGGGGGGCAGTTGGGGGCGATCAGACTGGGGGGAGGAGGGAGCAGTTGAGGATGAGCAAGCTGGCAGGTAGGAGGTAGTTGAGGGCAAGAAAACCAGCAAAGGGGGGGGTGGGGAGTTGGGGGTGAGCAGGGAGGCAGGCAGAGTGGTAGGGGCAATCAGGCAGGCATTCAGGTGAGTGGTTAGGTCCGTGTTGGTGGTATAGTGGTGAGCATAGTTGCCTTCCCGGTGAATGTTTAGGAGCCAGTGGTCCCAGATTGCGAGAGGGATGTCCCAGATTACAGAGGGTGCAGGCCAGGCTGAGGGGCATGCACAAATTTCATGCACTTGGCCACTGGTTTTATATAAGGGACTTGAAAATCCAAGGAGGTAGGAGGGTCCTGAACCAATCCGCTATGGATACCGAAGGAGGGCTGTTTGGGGGAAGTAAAAAGTTATATGTGGCTTTTTTACTGCATGGGTTCAGCACCCCTAATCCTCATTGTTCAACAGTCAACTGTACACGATATGTTAGACAATAAGTGTTAAGCCTTAAAAAAAAAAAAAAAAGGAGCCCTGGCCGGTGTGGCTCAGTTGGTTGAGCATTGTCCCATGCACCCAGGGTTGTTTGGATTCTGGTCATGGCACATGCCTGGGTTACCAGGTTGATTCCCACTAGGGGGCGTGCAGGAGGCAGCCTATCGATGTGTCTCCCTCTCCTTTCCTCTTTAAAATCAATAAAACCATATTTTTTTTAAAAAAAGGAGAGCAGTACCAAGAAAGTTGCAATTTTAGAGAGAGAGCCAAGGAAGACCTCGTGGAAAAGAGGTAGCATTTCATCAAGACTAAGGTCTAGGGAAGAACTTTACAGTGAACGACGGGCAAAGGTGCGAAGCAGGAATGGCCGCAAGTACTTTCACCCGCATTTGAGAGATGGAAGCAAGGCGCGCCAAGGATGTCAGTGGGCTTAGGACTCCCAATAAACAGCCTGATCCGAAGTCGTCTGAACTCTAGACCTGCCCCAACCCGGAGCCCCGGTGGAGCGCTCACCGGAAGCGCGCAAGCGCACAGGGTGCAGGGGGCCTCGGAGTCCTGGCCCGGCGGGGACTCGGTGTCGGCAAAGGAACTGTCCCGACGCTTGGCGGCCAGCATCCGGGGCGGCGGAGGCCCGAAGGCGACTGGCACGTGAGGCGGCGGCGGCGGGCAGAGCTCCTGGCGGAAGTCGGCGCGCAGCCAGCGCAGCGTGAGCGGGAGGCGCGCCCAGGGCGGCGCGCGCAGCACGTGCGCCAGCACCCGCAGGTGGAAGGCGAAGGCGGCCTCGCTGCGCAGGCGCGGGGCCACGTGCGCCAGGCGGCGCGAGGCCTGCGGGTGCTGCCAGGCCCACTCGAACTGCGGGCGGGAGAGAGGGCTCAGCGCCGCCCGGGGAGGGCCCCACGCCCCGGCCCCCGGTCCTGCCACCCCGTCCCTCCTTACCCGGAGGGCGGCCACGGCGGAAGGGAAGCCGTGCACGATGAGCACCATCTCCCTGGGGAAGAGAACCAGGGCCTGGTGCGTAAAGCGCCCCCTTCCCGCCCCGCCCGTGTGCAGCCCAATCCCCTCGCCACGGTTCGCCTTCAGCCCTGCCAGAGTGGAGTCCTCACAGCGGGCGTCAAGCCTTGTCCTCGAGGCCCTGCCTCTCCTGAGAGGTCCGAGCCTCGCATCTCCAGCCTCAGCTCCGCCTCCAGTCACAGGGACTTACTGCCTTCCCGGGTTCCGCCCCTATCCAGGTTCCCTGTCTTCCATCCCGGCCCATCAGTCCCCTTCCTCACATCCCAGTCTCACGGGCTCCTCCTCCCCACAGGCTCCTCCCCAGAGACAGGTCCACCGACCTCACTGGCCACCCCCAGGCCCGGCTCTCAGCCCCACACGGCCCCGCCCACTGTCACTGTCTCTCCCCCGCGGCCCCGCCTCCTCCTTGAAGCCCTCCTCCCGGGCGACCCACCCTCTTACCAGGGACCGCGCCCGCTGGTCCGCCAGGCCCCGCCTTTTTTGCGGCCTCCGTTGTGCTGCTGGACACGGCGAGCAGGGTTGACGGTGAACCCCACGTAGACCCGGCCCCGGTGCCGAGGGTTCAGGCAATAGAGCAGGTAGACGCCGAAGAAGCCCCCGGGCCTCGCCGCACCCCCCTGGGGACCCATCGGGACGTGTGGGTTGGCTGCTGTGGCCTCTGAGCTCGGGGAGGGGAGGGGAGGGGTGCCAGGGCCGTGATACACTTGTCTGGGGGAAAGCTCTGGGTGGCGATCCCGGGGTAACCCGGCGGCTGCAGCAGCGCGGGTTCGGACACCCTCTCCTGGCTGGAGCCAGTGTGTCCAAACCCGCCGCCGAACCTCAGGCGGCGGCGCCAATGAGCGGGCGGCGGGGGCGGGGCCTGGCCCTGCGCAGGCTCTGATTGGCTGGCGGGCGGCAGGCGCGGAGCCCGGGCGGTTGGAAACTGGGTTTCCGGGAGGGCGGAAGTGCTGCGCTTTCGGACGCCTCAGTAAGGGCGGAAGTTGGGGCTTCCGCAGTGAGGGTGGAAGCAGCGTGACCGGCGTGGGATCGCGGGTTCTGCCCGCGCCGGGTCGCCCCCGCCGGCCGCCATGGAACTCAGCGCCGATCGCCTGCGGGAGAAACTGCGGCGGGACCTGCAGGCAGAGCACGTGGTGAGCTGTGCAGCCGGGACCTCCCGGCGAGGGCCAAGGGGCTTCTGGGCGGACGGCCTAGCACCATCCACATGATTCTGCCCCTTAGGAAGTGGAGGACACGACTTTCAACCGCTGCGCGTCCAGCTTCCGAGTCCTGGTGGTGTCGGCCAAGTTCGAGGGGAAGCCGCTGCTTCAGAGACACCGGTGAGGCCCGGGCAGCCCCTCGCTCAGCGCGGTCCCGGCCCCACAGCCCCGGCCACTCCCCGCAACCCAACGCCCTCGCCCCGGCAATGCGGCCCAGTCCTGTGGGCGACGGCCCCAAGGATTTCGCCTTCTCGGCCCCTGCTGGGAGAATTGAGGCTTGGGCCCTCTGCCTCCTGTCCCAGGTCCTGGGTGCTACTTGAGGACACCTCCAGCCTTCTGGGTCTCCCTAGCTTCGGGGACTGTGGCTTAGGCCCCTGCGGTTCCCTGACAGCATCTCTCCCTCAGGCTGGTGAACGAGTGTCTGGCCGAAGAGCTCCCGCATATCCATGCCTTTGAGCAGAAAACCTTGACCCCAGAGCAGTGGGCCCGGGAGCGGCAGAAATAAGAGACCAGCGCCTGCACAGCCATTAAATTATGAATGGGGCCAGCTTCTGTGTTGGTGTGTTGTGTGTGGGCCGGGCACTGAGGCTGTCTAGGGCCTGGCTTCCCCCTGCCCTGACATTCTTCATTGTCTCCTCCTTGTTTTAACTTGGGCAGGTCCCTCTTGCCCAAAGCCTCTGTGTCCCCACTTATAAAGGGAAAGTTCAGTCCTTAAAATCCCTTTTAGGCCAGGCCTCACGGGCCTCCTGCAATGCTTGGAAAACTCCTACCAACCAACCGCCTATTTGTGGACAAGTGCTGGGTATTCCTGCCCTCTGCCAGCCTTTAAGATGCACAGATGAGCCCTGGCCGGTATAGTTCAGCGATTAGCGCATAGGCTTGCAAACCAGTGGGTCCTGGGTTCAATTCCCAATCAAGGGCATGTTTGATTTGATCCCCACCCCGGTCTGGGTTCAGGAGGCAACTGATTGTATGTTTCTCTTACATCTATGTCCTCTTCTACCCTCGCCTCCCCCCTAGCCTTTCCACTCTAAAAATCAATGACAAAAAATCCTTGGGTGAAGATTAACAACAAAAATGCACAGATGAGCTGAAACCGGTGTGGCTCAGTGGTAGAGTGTCGGTCTGCGGACTGAAGGGTCCCGGGTTCGATTCCGGTCAAGGGCATGTTCGCTGGCTTCGGGCACATCCCCGGTGGGGGGTGTGCAAGAGGCGGCTGGTCGATGTTTCTCTTTCATCGACGACGTCTCTGGCTCTCTATCTCTCTCCCTTCCTCTCTGTAAAAAATCAATAAAATATAAAAATAAAAATGCACAGATGAGAAAGTGTCAGAGTTTCAGGGTGCTGGCCAATTTAACCTTTTCCTCTCACCAGCATCACCCCAATGTCAGAAGCATAATAGAGGATTCCACACTTCCCCTGCAGGCTCCTACAGGGACATAGTACCCCCGAGGGGGCTGTCCAACAGCTGGTAGGCTGATGTTTTCTGGCCCACAGGAGAAGGTCCAATGACCTTTTAGCCCTGGGCTTGATGTGGCCAGGTGCCCTTGAGAAAACCATGTGGTTTTCCTTTATATTGATTTCAGAGAGGAAGAGAGAGAAACATCTATGATGAGAAAGAATCATTGATTGGTTGCCTCCTGCACCCCCACCCTGGGGATCGAGCCTGCAACCCATGCATGTGCCCTGACTGGGAATCAAACTGACCTCCCGGTTCATAGGTCAGTGCTCAGCCACTGAACCACACCGGCTGTGCACCATGTGGTTTTCAAGAATGGAGGTATGGGCAGAGGATGGGAATTGAGGTAGAACAGGAAAATAAGGCCAACCAGAGCCACAAAATAGGGACAGGTAATGCCTTTAGTATCGGTTTATCAGCTTAAACACAAGTACCAGGATTGGTAAGGCCTTGCAGGTGAAGTCCCTGAGGCCTAGTGGGCCAGGGCTTTGGGGGAGTATGGATTACAGGTTTCGGCCATCCCACCCACTCTGTACCCTGTGTTTTCAAGGCCAGTCTCGGCCCCTTCCCCCCACCTCCTCCCCTCGTTTCTATCGGAGGGAGAACGGGTGGAGAGAGCTGGGGGTCACCGTGATGACAGGAGCCCTTCTGGGTTCCAGGGCTTCTTTCCTGAGCTGTTTTTCACGTGACAAGCTGCTCAGAGGGCCATCCCCGTTGTTCAGGAGCCGCTCAGAGAAGGCACCGCGCCTTCCCTAGGCCCAGCGTCCAGGTTTCCTGATTCTTCCTCTCTCACCCCCGATTGGTGCACACACTGGTCACAGGGTGTGGTACTTCCCCATTTCATTGGGAGAAGTAACTTGCCCAGAGTAACAGCTTGCTTAGAAGGTGAGACCAAAATGGGCAGACAGGGACAGTCTTACGGCTGCCTCAGGTGGTTTTCTCTGGCATGCTGAAGGGGCAGAAGGGGCAGCAGATGGGCATTGAGTCCTTGCCGCCCTGTGTGGTATGAACCAAACGCTGCTGCGGCCAGGACACCTATTCCTAATAGCCTGTGTCCCAGCTCGGTCACCTGCTAAGGTGGTTATCAAACCCACTTCCGAGCGCCCACTTGATGGAGCCTGACAGGTTATTCAGGTCCCTGTCGCAGAGGCCAGGCCCACGGAGACCCACGATAAGGGCTCCAGAGGCAGCACCCTGCACAGGAAGGCTCCTCAGGACCTGCCCTTCAACTGCTCAGTGCCTCAGTTTCCTCACCTGTAAACTAGGGTTGGGCCTTTGCTTTAGTTGTAAGCTTTCTCCTTACCAAAGGACCCCTCGGGCCTGCAGTTTGGAAGATGTCCTGTAGGAGCGAGTTGTTCATTTCCCCACAAGCAGCAGTGTTGGTAGTTACATGTAACCTGATGTGGTTAACTAGAAAAGGCAGATCTGGGGTACACGTGGGAGTTAACGAAGCCCCAGGCTAGGGCCGTGAGTAGCTCACACCTGCCAGCTGCAAACAGCAGGCCCCAAACCACACCGGAACGGGTGCCCCCACCCACCAGACCCATTCTGTGGTTTACTCTGCGTTTGGAAGCATCCCTCAGCCCCAAGGCTTCTGAGGAGAAGCTCAGAGTCAGGCCAGACTCGGCACTCAGGTGCACAGTCATCAGAGTCGGAGGTACCAGAAAATAAAGCCATTTTATTTGTCTGCCACTGTGGCCTAAGGAGTGGGAGGAAAGGAGCAGGGGAGGGGGGAGAGGTGCGGGGGGAGGCGATGCGGTGGGCCCAGCTCAAGGCCCCAGAGTGTCTACTTGGTCAGGACTGTCTCCTCCAGCCTATCCAAGCGCTTCTGGAGCTCCTGCACCGTGGCCTGGAGCTTCCTCACCTCCTCCTCCAGCCGGGACACGACATCCTGGAGGGCCCAGCGCTGCATTATGCCAAGCTCCACCCGGGGCTTCCCCTTACCCTGGCCAAGAGCCCCGGGGCCTGCCATTACTGCCCAGAGAGCTGCAGGCCTCCAAGCTGGAAACCTCTCTGAGGCCTGGGGATTACCCACTGCCAGCTAGCTTCCAGTGAGTCCGGCTGCCTCAGGCCAGCCTCCTCCCCTGGGTCAGTGACCACAGCGATGGCAGCCCCTCCCCGCCCTGTCTTCCATCCTGACTCCAGCCTCCCATCCGCCTCTCACCGAGCTCAGAGTGCCACTGGCCTCCGGTGCCGTCCTCCTGCGCCCGGTGTCCAGGCCCCGGTTGACCCGCAGCTCCCGGCTCTTTGGAGGCACGTAGCCATCCTTGAGGGAAATGAGGAGGGGCCCAGCATCCCGGCCCCCCAGCCACTCCTCGGCCGTGAGGGCAGCATCAGGCCCTGCCGTGGGCGGGTACAGGTCCTCCTGGAACAGGTCCGACTGTGGGCGAGACCAGGGCTGGTTAAGAGCGTGCGTAGGCCACACCACCACCCTGCAGCCCTGCGAGGTGTGCCCGGCCCAGGGCCCGGGGAGGGACATGGCATCACCTTTCTGGGCACCGTCATGGCGATGGGCTCACATTTGCGCTCGTGCAGCTTGTAGAACCTGCGGAGACAGGAAGGTGAGCAGCACCCACAGCACCGCTGGGCTGAGACTGCATGAGGTCAGCGCTGCCCAGGAGCATGCTGCGGGCAGGGGCAGGGAGCAGTCACCTGGCAATCTCGCACTTGTTCACCTCGAGGCCGCGCTTGGGCATGTAGCCCATGCCGCGCTGCGACTCCTTGGAGCTGAACATGGAGAGATAGTGCAGGAATGGCGCCTCGGCGGTGATCTCGAAGTAGCGGATGGAGCTGTCGCCCTGTGGGTGGTGGGTGGGGGAGATCAGCACCGACGGGTGCCGGTAGCTGTGCCCCTGCCCGCCCCCTCTGCCCGCCCCCCTCCCCACCCGCCGCTGGGCACCTTGCCACAGAGGTAGACGATGTTGGTGTCGGGGTCGAAGAAGGGCAGCAGGACGCCGCTGCTGGTGTCCAGCTCCTGCAGGGACAGCGGCTCCTCCAGGTGCTTCTGTAGAGGCGGGTGGAGAGAATGAGCTGGGCCAGGGCAGGCCGGGGGTGCCTTCACTGAGCAGTAACCGGGGTGGGGTGACCCTTGCAGACCACCCAGTGGAAACCCCCTCTCAGGCGGGCAAACGGGC